TGACCCACATGGCACAGCAGACCCCTCCTGTCTCACCCACTGCCCCCCCTCAGCAGTGTACTTCAATCAGTCCACCTGTTCTGCTCCTGGCTGTCTTTGGTGAATCCCCTCATGCCCTGCATCTCTGGCCTGTACCCCAGTTCTTGTGTGCATAAAGAAAAAAAAATAGAATGAACTGACTCTTTTAAAAAAATTCAAAGCCTTTCAATATATATCATTACATGAAAAGATAGAAGAAAATCATGTGACTATCTCATTAAGGCAGAAAAGGCATTTGAGAACACTCAGTGTCCTCTTATGAGAACAACTTCAGCAGTAGAAAGAAAAGGGAATTTCTTCGACTTAATGAAGGGTGTCTGTGAAACACATTTAACAACATGCTTAACAATGAAACTAGGAAACCCCATCACACCAACAACAGACAGGGTCTCTAATCTCATCCTCTCGGTTCAACATTATACTGGAAGTTGTTGGCCGGGGAGCAAGGTGAAAAAAAGGAAAAACAAAAAACCGTACATACTGGAAGGGAAGAAATAAAGCTGTTTCTATTCACAGGTTACCTAAATATAAAAAATGCAAAAGAGCTTTAAAACAATGAAAACTTCCAAAACTAATCAGTAAACTTAGTAAGGTTGCAAGATCAACGTACAAAACCTTGTGCTGATATATACTAGCAACATTGGAAAACAACGTAAAAGGGTGTTATTTTGCAACAGCATCAAAAACATCAAACATGTAAGAATGAGTTTAATGAAGTAAGTACGTGATCTCTACATTGGAAACGACAAAGCAATGCTCAGAGAAATGACAGGAGAGTTAAATGAATGGGAAGGTACATTATGTTTGCAGACTGGAGTATTAGGTATAAACTGGGAAACTTATATTTTAAAAATCCAGTAGATCAATACTGAAAAAGTTAGATTATTTTCAAAAGTGGGCATACAAATGAACATAGTTCATAAAAGGCTTACAAATGGCCCCAAGTACATGAAAAAGTACCCACACTCATTAGTCATCCGAGAAAAGCAAAGAAATGAGGCCACGACGAGACACCACTTGCTACCGCCAGAGGAGCCAACGCCAG